ATATATATATATATTAAATTTATATTTCTAGTTGTAGCAACATCATCTCCTAACTCATCAAATAGCTTATCAACATCAACTTCAATTGCCGTTTCATCATCTTCATTAGCAACAGGTATGACAAGAATTCATCTAACATTTCTGTAGACAACAATCGACTGTTTATTCTAGTTAATTCTCATATACTTTTCATTCGAAGATTAGTTATCTTAGTAGAATCTGAGTGTGGGCGTGGGTGGGTATGATATTATATTTATCTCATACACACACTCACGCCCTCACCCACACCTACCCAAACTTCACACCGTCAAGAATCATTGCGTTTTATTTCTCGTTCGCACACTTCAGACAATAAAAACCTTTTGTTCTGAAAACATACATGGATTTTTATATCTTTCAAAATCTATCAGGAATTTGTTGTGATGCCATGTAACTTAATCTGATACTCCGTTTCTCTCATATATATGCTCTTTGATTGTAATTTATTATTGCATGCGCTTTTAGCCTCGACAACATCATCAACACCAACAACATCCTCAACAACCTCAACAACATCAGCATCATCAACCTCATCAACATCATCAACTTCATCAACATCATCTACATCATCAACATCAAAAACAACATCAACAACAACAAAAATGACAACAAGTAAGTTTACGATTGTACGATTATTTTTCTGTATCGGATGTTATTTGAATCTCAATAGCACCATCATGCAGCAATGTTGTTAGCAATCCTCCAGGACAAATTTTGAGTTTGACCGCTTATACTGCACAGACCACGTATGCACTTTATACTTATAATTTCACGGCAAATGATTCTTCAGCAACTTTATCATTTATAATGAGGGGTGACGGTGGAGGTGGTGCCAATCGCTACTGGTTATTAGATCAAGTATCTGTGAATCATACGAACGCAAACGCAGATATTCTAATTAATGGTGATTTTGAAACAGGAAATTTAAGTGGCTGGACACAGTTTTGTAACACGGATTATAATTGTGGTACAAAATCAACTGTTAATTATGCCCATACCGTAACAAATTCGTGTTATACAGGAACATATTGCGTTTACGATTCATGCCAGTTTTTTGATTATCTATTACAATCTTTTAGTACGGTGGTTGGAGATTATTATTTAATATCATATTATCTCAGAGTCAGTATTAGTGGAGGACCTCCGATTATGTATGTTACATTAACCTAACTGAGGCCATTTTTACCGACAATGATAAACACTAACTCTGTTTTACTTTTTCTGATGTTTATGCGCATTACTTGTGTAATTCCAAATTTTGATAAAAAAGAAATCTTTTCATTTTTCATAAAACTTGTCACAATGCTGTTGATATAGAATGATCATTCTCTTTCAATGTCATTTTCATTGTTGATATATCTATTCACTAAATAAAGGTATATCAACATGGAAATTGCCTTCAATTCGACTCTTTAATGGCAAAATTCATGCATTATTTATTTCCAAATCGCTGTCACTTTGTATGGTGTTTTTGGTTGATTGATGGTCGTTCTATTTTAATTCTAGTCAGTGGGAAGCTTCGTAAGATGACTGTGAGTATGAGATGATGCGACTATCCACACTCACACCCTCACGAGCGATTCGTTTGAATTTGATGATACATGAAATATGATGTACGAGAATCAGAACTTATGACCATCTTGAGAGTGCAGATGTGACATAATGACAACATCCACACCCTAGTTTTTTTTAATAAAAATTACGATAAACTACTTCTTTTCCATTATTTATTAAATAGTTCGCCAAAAATCTTCATTTGAAGAAAAGAGTAGTTAGTATCAACAAGAACAAGAGAACAAAAGGAGAATAATTCGAATTATCATTGTTTCTAAAGCATACTATGATCCATTAAAGTATCTAAAGGTATGAACTAATCTCTTCTTTATCTACACCCTGAAAAAATCCTCCTTGATTTTTCTAAGAAAAACAAGAATCTTGAAAGAACGTCGATTAATATATTGGTTAATTATGTTTGATAAAATTTTAGATACCATTTGTGTAAAGACACCTATTTTAGTTGCATCGAGCATTTGCTTCGTAGATATTATTTGACAAACGTGCTTTTTTGGTCCTGATTACCAAGCGAATAAATATTATGACAATAAAATGAGCAATGTTATTAAAATCTTTAATGATGAAAAGAATGTATATAGAACAAAGGAAATATTTGTTATACTCTGACAAATGTCATAGATTTAATTTTTTCATTATTAATAATGCATAAATAATCTTGATGATGAACTGCTCCAATATTACAATGCCTCTTGCATATAATCATATACATCCATTATTTTCAATATATCAATTAAATGGTATTTCAAAATTATTATATACAATTCCATTATTAATAATGTGTTTTATTGGTTTTATAGAGAATGTATTTACTTTTCAAACATTTATATATATGTGTGTAAAGACTGAAGTTTGCAGACGACAATCAATATATTTTCTTATTTTATCAATGAATGGTATTCTTATTTCAATTCTGTTGCCAATTGGAATATTTTATTCCACTATAAAAGAGCTTGTGATGTATATCAGTTTAGCTGATATATTTATTTTTCTATGTATTATAATGAATACAATTAGTATTTGGTTATCGGCTGCATTATCCACTGATATCGCTCTTGTCAATGTATACATCGGTAAAATGATAGGATTATCTTCTTCTTATTCTGTGATTACATCTATTCTTGTGATTTTATTTGTTACTAGAAGTTATTCTTCATGGATAGTAAATAAAGCATTTTCTATGAATTTACTGTCGATCATATGCTCTTTGATTCATCTGTTAGTACCATCTTTGATACATTCGATAAGTACAATAATTAGTTTAAGACATACTGTTCGACGTCGTATGAATTTATTCAAAGGCAAAACAACTTATTTTCAACAATTGTTATTACATCAAGACCATCTAAGATGTTTTATATTAATTATTATTTCTACGATTCCATATTTTTTTATTGTCAGTACATTTACATGGTCAGATAAAGAAATTTTATCATCAAAAATACAAATCTTATTAATAACATTTATATTTCTACATCAAATGTTAACATTTCATGTTTATATATCACCACAAAAATGGTACATGCGTGAATATCGTAATATAACACCATTAGGAAAACTAATGAACAAAATATATTCTACAGACAAACAAAATAAAAAAGTTGTATGCATAAAAAAATATTGACCGTATTTTTTTTCTTATTCAAATAAATCCTTTCATCTAAGCAATTATAATAAATAAAAATATTTCTCTATTTATTAATGAAATTCGACGCTTTCAACATATCGATAAGCTAAGGTGTGAGTGGGTATGAGTGTGAGCATAATCGAATGCTACTGTGGCTATGAATGTTCTATTTATCTTACTAACACTCACTCTTAGATTATTTTATTTAAAATCGATTAGTATTAAAGAGAAAACACTTCATCACACTAACAGTCATTCATATACACTTACACTCGCACATGGGCAACATCGACTGTGTATTTGAGACAAGTATTCAGTAGGAAAGTGAACTATTAGTCTGATTAACTTTTGATAGAGCATAATATTACGTATTTACAGATCATCTATAGAAGAGCACGAAAGAAGTGTCACTGGAATATCTCCAATCCAGCAAGTGGTGATATGTTCTGGATCGTAGTACTGAACCCTTTTTTCATAAACAGAATTACTACCATAATAAGCCTAGGAATAGCAACGATCAACTGTACAACTTCCGAGTTTAATTAATCCATCAATATTAATATGATTTCTAATGACACCGACAACAAAAGACTAAGGTAATAAATCAGCTGTTGATTGATTGATCTAGTGACTAACAAACTTGAAGATATCATGCTTTCATACTGATTACCTTTGAATTTAGGAAATGGTAATTGATTCAGTATAGTTTTTAGTGAATTACTTGGACTCGACATTACGGTATGATCTATTATCGTCAATGGTACTGCTACTACCACCCTTGCAATTTTAATGACGTTCGTTACTATCTTGACAAACAATAATAATAAGATGTGGATCGAGTTGACCTAATTGGAAGTTTGTATAAATTAATTCGATGGACGCTTCAGTGTCATTCTTCTTGATATGATACATAAATAGCGGAAATATTCGTCTACAAGAGACATATCATACTCAATAAATATAATACAAATGTAATGTTAGAATTAATTTAGATTTCTCAAATTCGGTAAAACGTTTGATACTGATCGTTTTATTTTACTCTGCAACTATTTAAACAAAACGCTGCTGCGGCAGACGATGAAGAGAAATATCATTGAATGTGTCTTGGTGTGGATATCAGGCAACTCATTTTCACACCCATCACTCTATGTTAACAGCTTTGTGATACTGTGACAGTTTCTGATATAGTAGATACTATTGAAGGAATAATATATGCTTTATTTGTATAATCAAAATCTTAATATTACAATATTTTTTCCATCTCTTACATATTATTTTATTAAAGAAAAATTCAGTAAACACAAAGATAGATAAATAGAAGGAGTAAAACCAAACTTGTATGAAGATAAAGAGTAGAATATTAATACAAAAGAAGAACAACAAGAATATCACTCAATATACGGGAAAAATAAAAAATAGACACTATACATCACTAAAAAAAGGAACGGATAAGCGTAAGATAACGACGTACATACATAAAAAGAGAGAGAGATATATATAAATATTATTCATGGATGAAGAAGATAAAGATACTAGTATTTGTTTATAGACAGAAGAAATACGAGGAAAAGAAAATTATAGGATACGTAACATTGGATTGTTACACACATGTCTTATGGAAAACAAGAAGATCTATTTTATCAAAGGTTAGGAATCACACAAGTAATACGCATAAAACTCAAAAAGCAGAAAAGAGATAGTGTTTATCAATGTCATTTCGTTAATAGAAGTCATCTCAGTTAAGTTAATGTGACATAAATTTGTAAAGGACCTCCTTTATCAGGTTCAATTCTGATATAATATGATATAAAATAGTGATCTCCAACCACAGTAGAAAACGATTGTTCCAGATAGTCAGTATTTTTACATGAATCGTAAACGCAATATGTTCCTGCATAACATGGACTTGTTACCGTATGTGCATAATTACCACTTGATGCTGTATCACAATTGGCAGTCGTGTTACAATACTGTGTCCAGCCGTTTAAATTTCCTGATTCAAAATCACCATTAATTAGAACATTTGTGCTTACGTTTGTATGATTCACAGATACTGCGTCTAATAACCAGTAGTGAACGCCACCTGCTCCACCCTCACCCGTTATTATAAATGATAGAGTTGATGACAAATCATTTGCCGTGAAACCATAAGTGTATTGTGTATATGTGGTCTTTGCAGAACCAGCGGGCAAACTCAAAATTTGTCCTGAAGGATTGGTAACAGCAGTGCCGCACGGTGGTGCTATTGAGAGTGAAATGATATTTGATACAAAAGAATAATCATACGTTCGGAAACTTACCTGTTGTCGTTGTTGTCGTTGATGTTGAGGCTTAAAAAGTGAGAAACGGTAAATTACTACTAGAGATCATATATTTGAGAGAAAAACGATACAGAAGTAAGTCAAATGACATAAAAACAACTTACTAATCTATTTTGAAAGAAGTAAAAATTCTTTTGGGTTTTTAAAATAAAAGATTATTATTGTTTGAAGTTAGTGAAAGAGAAGTAAAACAGCATGACTCTAGCTTTCATTGGCATTTCTCAATATATGTTTATCAATTACCAATACGTCTCAAATTTTTCTTTAGAAAACAAATGACTAGCTCTCATGCTTAATTTAAAAGATATTTTGCCAACTTTCTTTATGATACTGCTCACAAATCATGATCAATTTAACGATGCAACTGGTGAAAAACTATCGGTTGAAAATCTTGAGTGCAACGAATGTTTTAAGAATAGTACTAAGGGAAGAGAAAAAATAGCAATTATGATGATCAGAACAAATCCAGAATCCGACGCAGAACATGTAATTCTGTACAATTACTGAATTTGCCAGTTAATAGTTTTACCAGAGCTATGAAACTGCTGAAGTAATTTCAGGTCCTAACTCATTCACTTGCTCCAGTATCTAAACTGAGCTTGCAGCTTTTATGTTTGAGAAATTATCATACCAGAATCAGTAACTTATGCATAGATTCCGTATTAAAAAATCCTACTTTATCCGAAGGATTTTCACTCTCTTTCAATTCTTCTCAAATTCTTAATCAACTCTTATTGCTTGTCAGAAGTTCATACTTGAAGTACTTGTCGTTGACGTTGTCTTTGATGTTGAACTCGTAGATGATGTAGTACCTATTGAGAAACATATACAATTATTCTAATAAGTGTACACTGAAATTGAGTTTCATCTCAAAATTGAGGGTGTGGATATGATCTTTAACTGTGGTTCTCAGCCTCATTTACGTTCACATCCACCCACAATCTTATCCTGACTCACTACCAACCATACCCTCAAGATGGTTTACACTGTTTCTGTTTTGTATCTCACCCGATCAGCTGGGATAAGAAAATCTTTATTGAATAAAAAATGACTACGAAAGCTTCTTCATGTTATCAAAAGATAGGTAGAATGTTATTCCTACGTATCAGTATCTGTTGTCACATTTTATCTAGCAATATGATGTTTAGCTCTAGGATTTACCAGAAAATTCTCTATGTACTATCGTAAGCTTCCTTTTTATTAAATATCTGAGCATTTTCTTGTACTTGTGTTTGTGCTAATTGTCCGTGCGTGAAGTTAAAAAAACTCAAAAAAGATCTACTTTAGGAATAATCTGATAACTCTTGACAAAATCATTAAATCCCGCCAAGTTCGGTCTCGATCTATATTCAGATCCTCAGTTATATTTTCGAAATATGTTTGCATCCATACTTGTTGTTGAAGTACTTGTCGTCGAGGTCGTACTGGTTGTGGTACTTGTTGACGAAGTTGAACTGGTTGATGAAGTACTCGTTGTCGAGGTCGTACTAGTTGTGGCACTTGTTGATGAAGTCGAACTGCTTGTTGAAGTACTTGTTGTCGATGTCGAAGCTAGATTAGTACATATTTTAGTTGTTAATATATGTTTTCAAATCTTATTATTTACTGGATGATGTTGTGCTTGTTGTTGATGTTGAACCTATCGAAAAAGACGTAATTTTGTAAGAGTGCATGTTTAATAAAACTGAATTTAATATAAGAGATTTCATCTCAAGATTTGAATTTTATTTTTCAACGATATTACATTAAATCTTTTTTTGTATTCTATCATCTAAAACAGTTTTCATATAATCGAAAGGAACTTTATTCTTTTCAAACACTTCATGTCTGTCAGATTGTAGAACTTATCAAATGTTAATGGCATTTCAAACACTAAATTACCATGAGAATATATTTTAACTTACTAGTCGACGAGGTTGAAGTGGTGCTGGTAGTGACACTTGTTGTTGAGGTTGAAGCTAGATTAGTACATAATTTAGTTGTCAATATATGTTTTCAAATCTTATTGCTTACTGGATGATGTTGTGCTTGTTGTTGATGTCGAACCTATCAAAAAAGACGTAGTATTGTAAGAGTACGTGTTTAATAAAATAAAATTTAATCTAACGAGGGAACCACCTGAGGTGATAACTCCCATTTTCATTCATTCATATCTCATTTAGTTAAGTATATTGAGATAGTAAAAACCCTAAAGGGGATTTTGACCAATCTCATTCCTTCAGTAGTTATTCCCATTTTACTTGATTTTCGACCCATTATTAAATATATACCTCAAAAAATAAATTACGGAATTTCAAGCTGAAGTTTTCCCCATCTATAGGTCTAATAGTTATTAGAACATCCTGAAAGTTTCAGGCAAAAAGAATGTTCTTTTCTTGAAATATTCAATTTTCAAGTGAACTCCGTTTTTAATGATCTATATGTAGCAAGCGACTATTTTTTGAAAATTGAATATTTCAAGAAAAGAACATTCTTTTTGCCTGAAACTTTCAGGATGTTCTAATAACTATTAGACCTATAGATGGGGAAAACTTCAGCTTGAAATTCCGTAATTTATTTTTTGAGGTATATATTTAATAATGGGTCGAAAATCAAGTAAAATGGGAATAACTACTGAAGGAATGAGATTGGTCAAAATCCCCTTTAGGGTTTTTACTATCTCAATATACTTAACTAAATGAGATATGAATGAATGAAAATGGGAGTTATCACCTCGGGTGGTTCCCTCGCAAGGGATTTCATCTTAACATTTGAATTATATTTTTCGATGATGTTACATTAAATCTTTGTGTTCTATCATCTAAGACAGTTTTCATACAATTGAAAGGAGCGTTATTCTTTCAATAGACTTCATATGTTGATAACATTGTAGAACTTATCAAATGTTAATTACATCTCAAACACTAAATTATCATGAGAATATGTTTTGACTTACTAGTCGATGACGTTGAAGTGCTGCTAGTAGTGACACTTGTTGTCGAGGTTGAAGCTACATATGTACACATTGCAATTATAAATATATGTTTTCAAAATTTGTTTCTTACTGGTCGATGTTGAAGCTATTATTAGAAAAATAATCATGTATTAGATGGTATTAAGAGATGTCATTATTCTTAATCTTTCATTAAGCATTAGATGAGTAGCTTAACTGAAGAGACTAAACAGGTCCGTCTTCTGTAAACCTGGCCAGGATGGAAAAAGCGGACCGAATCGATACAAATATAGTTAATGAAGAAAGCGTTAACTCAGAATGTTATGCACGTAGGTAATGATACATCCTTTTCGTCTCTCATGTTTTTTTTGTTTTCATTCACCTTCCTATCACATCCCATTCTCTCAGTCACACATATTATTTACTGCGAGTGGATGTCGGTGAGGGTATTTCTTCTATATTCTGTAACTACTCACAAACTTGTAGCCGCACACCCACACCCACCCTGAAGAACACAAGGGATTTCATTAAACTTAAAAGATTTTTTTTGGAATTCAGGTAACTCTCGATGTATTTTTGTATAATTGAACGAAAGAATGCAGAATTCGCTTTTACCTTATTAGGCCTGATCGAATGGTCGATTTAGTTGTGTCGCGCTCAAGTTCAAAATATATTTTTTTAATTAAAATCACATCTAGTAGATAAATCTTAGATCGATTACGGGCTTATCTGACGTGGCCAATAATAAATTTGCATATCAAGACCTGCACTTGCTCGAGTCAGGTAAAGCATCAAATCTGATCGCCCACCAGATTCTTTAATTTATTACGTGTAAATTATTAAAATTGAGCAACATTCAAAATCAACGAAAGTTTCTATTAGATGGAATATATGCATATCTATATCATCCTATTTTTTGATTCGAAACTAGTTATCTCGCAGAATTGTTTTCATCTTTAAAATAATTTTACTTACTGGTTGCTGTTGTCGTTGTAGCAGTCGTGGCTGTTGTTGATAAGGTGGTTGTATGTGCTAATCATCATATTGTTATTGTATAAAGAGAAACAAAAATGATAAAAAAGAGACAGAATACTCACGTAAGACAATAGCAAGTACAGTACCAATGACTGCGCTCACTAAAAGAGCAAGAGTGATGGCCAAGCAAAAGCAACACGCAAGTTGACCGTAAGAACATCTCCTACAATTAAATATCATAATAAAAAGGAATAAAGTATGTATATTCAGTTGATGAGATCATATTCGACTGACTGATTGTCGCTCTCATTAGTAGATAAAAACAAAACAAGTATTCTTAATCGTGGCGAAATATTCGAAATTACTTTCAGCAAACTTTTGCTTTGGCATGATCATACAAATGTTCAATATTATATTACAGAATAAATAACACTCAGAAAAAAGAATTAAATATAATAAGGTTAAATTTTTTACTGTGGCAAGTCTTTCAAGACTAAGATTCAATATTTTGATCTACTTACATCTGGAATCTTTTTTTGACATTTGAGTTTCTCATAGTTCCCCTTCGTGTATCTTCGATGTTTTCGAATCTATTATTCTGCATAGGTTTCATCTGTTTGCTCATTGACTAAAGAATGGGATATAAACTTAGATAAAGTAATTTACTTTGGACACATAAATAGACTTACCAATGCAGGAGGAGAATCACTGTTGTTGCTGCTCCTATAAGTTGATGAAACGTCGCTTGGACGTACGCGGGTAACACGAGGTCGAAAGGAATTCACAGAGATGCGTGTGAACTGCATATTTTTATCTCTCATGTTTATTAAGATCACTTGGCCACAAAATTCAATTGTAGTGTTATTACCAAACTTTCTCTTGTCAGCAACCAAATGAATGAAATCGCACTGACAAAGAAATTCTATTTACGTACTTATTTTACGAGAGAAAAAAAATAAAAATATTTTAGGAAGCCAATGGTAGTCATGTATTTCATTTCAATATGTCATGTTTATTAAGATCACTACGTCAATAAACTCAATTGTAGTGCTGCTACCAAATGAATGAAATCGTACTGACAAAGAAATTCTATTCACATATTTATTTAATTAGAAAAAAAAAGTAAAAAATATTTTCGGAAGCCCACGGTAGTCATGTATTGCATATTACATTGATTTCATACAAAAAATTGAAATTTTGATATGGTCCATGTTGAGAACGTTCAACTTTTGACCTATTTTCGTTATGAACATCATCAACATATTTGGTTATGTAAAATAAAATTTTACAAGAAAAACATTTTTACTAGCATTACATCGTTTCACAGCGAACATCAGCAGATCTACCTACAAAATAAGAATCATTTCTTGCGAGTTTTATTGTTTGCTGTTGGTACAGAACAGTATAGTAAGTAAAAGCATTGCTAGTGCATTTTTAATCAGAATCGCTACATTCTTTTTATATCTTTTTTTCAAATATTTGCTTTGTCATGTAGCATTTTCAATTACTAGCAATTCGAAAATATGTTTTAGCTGTGCATCTATGCACGACAACGTCCATTTGCAGGAGTGTACCGAACAGTTAAATAATTTGAATTTCAAATAGTATACAAATTTCCCTTTTCTTCGCTCAATCCATGATTTTTATTTAAATCATAGATGTAATTTCATTGTTTTTTAGTCGAGCAAGAAAAAATTTTCTCATAAATTGATATGACTCATTTTTGTCGTTTCTTCTTATTAAGATAACTAATCAATCTTCACGAAAATTAACTATACTTTTATATTAATATCAAATTATTCAATAAAATTTACAATGAATCATTTTTAGATAATACAAATATTCACATTCTTAAATTCAACAATTTTGTATATGCATAAATACGTCAGTGTAATTCTCTCAAAATGTAGAATAATAAAGACTTTTTTTTATAATAAATGATTGAGTAATACTCAGATTATAGAGTCAAATATAGCGATTTCATTTAATTTTAGATATAAGCAATAAATATATTTTATTTTTCGATAAAGTTTCATATCAAACTTCAATCTAAGAAGCAATCTTGTTAATCCATCGACCAGAAGTTAGTATTTCATCTTTATTGTCTTCGTCTTTCTTGATATTGATAATATTTTCTAAGTACAAAAAGTACACTTCCCACAATAAAAAGGACAAAAAAAGCAAAAAGAAAACTATATGCTTTTAATTTCGAAGGTTTATTCCATTGCCAAGACCATGTTCCAGGGGAAGGATAATCATGATGTCGATAACATCGATAGATTTGATTTAACTAATTCGAAAAAAGGAAAGAAAATAACTTCAAAACATGTCAAATATCCTTACTTTTTTCGCTTGTGCAATACTTGTAGCCCACCATTTTAGAGAATATGTAGAACTCGATTCTATTCGATCATTTCCTTCATCTAAAATGGTAATATTCCATGCTGGCTTCCATCGACTTTTTTTCAAAGGTCCGAGGACTTCATTGGATTTAATCTGACAATAACGTTCGACATATGTATTTGATTGATGATATTCAATGATTCCAAACCCAAGTCCACATGCACCAAAAAAACATGAACACCAAATTAATACTTTAACGCAAGGATCATTACGTCTGGATCGTCTTTCTGTTAGAAATCTTATAAATGATGGTGATAACGACATGCAAAATTTGATTTTTTTTACAGCTCGATAATGAATAGGTTACTTGTAATTTACTTTTTGATGTACATAAAAGCACGTTTTTGCCTCGTATACATACAGAACAGAAGAAAGAAAAGAAAATATGTATCAAGAAACGAATAATAATTATAAAAAGAGTCGTAATCAAATGAAATATCTATTTTTTCTTTTCTAAAAAGCAAATTTTTTCTTGCATTGGTAGAAAAGTCAAAGATTTGTAATATAATGATTAATTTAATAAAGTTGCAATCTTTTGTGTAGAATTAGAACATATATATTTTGACACAAGTATTCTGTGAGAAAAGTGATCCATTAGTCTGATCAACTAGGATGTGGATGTAATGTTAATCTCTCACTCAAACTCACAGCCACACCCACACATTAATCGTGCAATTCTATGTTACAGATATCAAACATATGGTTAATTTCAAAGATTTATTTCGAAAAAAAAAAATTGAAAATCTATTCAGAGTTCATTATATGAATATTAGTCATTCTTAAAAGATAATATTTAAACTCCAGCTTTTTCCAGTCTTGATAATTCGATTTTTTGGTCAATATAAATCTAAAAGAAAGCAAATAATAACAAATAAAAATACAACAGATATCAACATACTTTATTGAATGCCTCTAGTAATTGATCAATTTTATCAGGAAAATTTTCAATTGGATCAAAATATTGTGAACGCATTCGACAATCTCGTTCTTCTTGAATTTCTGATTGATTTAATCTTTTCAAACCTAAAATATTAATAGACAATTATGTTCAATTGAGATCCATCAATCTTGAGAATAGGCATGAAAGTCTTTTCTTCAGTCATAATCTCCTCTACCCGTTGCGGAATGTTTTGCTGGTAGCAGAAAATAAATGAAAGTCTTATATTTTAGTTAAAGTCAATACTTTTCTAGTTTGTTCTAAGTCATCTAATATGAAGAGTTCTCGATTACAATCTTGAGATTCTATTGAATCTACATACCTGTCCATCGTAAAAATTTCTTTAGCATAAATGAAAGCATAATTTGATCTTCTTTTTGATTGTCTTTCGCATGACGAAAGCCATTACTAATTATTGAAACAAACATACTTAAACAAACAAAAACAACTAGAAACATAAATAAAGCAAAACAGAATGGACCAAGAAAAGCATCAGCTGCCATTATTTGTGATGCATCAAATTTCATTAATGTCATTTCAAAAAGCATTTGAGCAGTTGTTAATAAACTTGAACAGGACGAAAGTTTTGATATAAATAATAAATAAAATAAACAAAGATATGCCATAAATACAATTGCAAACATCAGTGAAAATGAAATCAGCTCTTTTGCACAATATTTTAATGTTTCAGCAAATAAAGATACTCGTTGATTAAAACGAAATAATTGGACAAATTTAATCATACTAAAAAAACAACAATAACCAAGAAGAAATGTTAAAATATCATTAACATAAACTGCAAGTTGTAAATTTATATAAATATAACCATTTGTTTGTTCAAATAGTTTACTTATACGATTTGTTTCTTGAAAACGCCAAAAATACACTCCAATACTTCCCAATGAACAACCAATGATACCGAATTGAATTAGTGACCAAAATTGATGAAAATATTTTAATTTCAATTCAAATAATAATCGAATTTCAATGATTATAAAATAAATTATAAAAAATATATAAATAATTGTACAAACTAATTGTAATATTGATTGAAATGCTAAATTTAAAAAACGAAAATTTATTTGTCTTTAGAAATAAAAACTAAAGAGTGAATTACTGTAGAAATTAATTGGTTCGAAACGAGCGGTTGTGTAAATACCACTTGTTGGTAAAAATTCAGCAAGTAAAGTAACTGCAGTTAATAATTGAATACTTGGATTATATAATGTTAATTGAATAAAAACAGCTCTTGTTTTCTCATCAATCCAATCTAATTGATGAAGTGCAGATAAATTTGTTTTCATATCAGATAAACGACCACGAAATTCATACACATAACCACCTCCTGTATATGTTCCAAATTCACCTGCATACGTGTATGTATCTAATTCATCACTCGTAGAATAGTTAAATGCTTTTTTAATTGATGAACTATAGATTTCATCTTCTATTGTTTGATTTGTCCATCCTGGTTGAAATAATTGTGTTTCTTCACTAAAGAAACTATAACTATCTTCACATATTGAAATAATACGTTGGTCGGAGCATAATTCTGATTTAATACGTAATTGTCTCATCGTTGCCCAACCAATTAATCGATTAGATTTATCATTTAAAAATCCATTTAAATATTGTGGAATATCTCCATTATACCACTGTTGGGCACGAATATTTGAAACAAAACTATTTTCTAACCAATACCAATATTCATCGATTGTATTGATCTAGAAAAAAACAAAATTCATTTCAATACAAGAAAAGAAGAACAAACATTAGTATAATCAGCAGTAGTTTGTCTTTGATTGAGAAAATAAGCTCGTAAATGATTGACTTGTAAAAAACTATGTTGTTCACGGTTTGAATAAGTGATTATAAAAACTAATAATGCAAATATAAAAGAAATAAGAAATTCTCGAATAATTTTCCACATTTGAATTTCTTTTAAACGTTGATCACGAGCATTAGCAATTTCATTTTCATTAAGGCGATTAATACTTTTTAAAGATGGAGTAGAAAATAATGATTGATACTAAATACGAAAAATTTATTTTTCTATGAAATTCTAAAAGATAACAAACCTCAAGTGAATGAAGATACTCCTCATCATTAGATATATTAAATTCATCATCTTCATTTATATATTCACTTGTTTCTTTATCATCTTTTGAATTTCGACAAAAACATATAAAGAATATAACCAAACATATAATCTTCAATGAGAAAATATTTCAAAAATATAGATTAAAACAAAATAGAAAGTATACTTTAATAGGTTGAGTAAGAACAACTGATGAGAAAAATCCAGTAAGAACAGATGTTAACCATTGTTGAGTTTTGACATCACCAAATTCAATTCCTCGAACAATGATAAAAAATATTGAAATAACAATAATTATCATTGAAAGACCATAAGCAATAAATAAACACCACCAAGGAAATGTTATTGAAGATTTTTTTTTCTTAATTGCAGGGACATCTTCCGAACTACTATAATTAAGAATGTCAGTGTCGATGAATGTATTTAGAAATATATACGAACCTTTTTCGAGATGGTTTTATCTTATATAATGCTTCACGTAATCGTGAAATTTGTTGACGAGGTCGAATACGTCGAAAGAATTGAACAATTAAGAGACTTGGAACCAATGTAAATAGTTCGACCATTATACCAATTCCAATCTTAAATATAAAAAGATGTTTTCATTAATCAGAAATTGAAAATTTCACAGGCATAAGGATGTGGGTGTAGTCTATTTTTGTTTCGCTATAAAAATCAATATATACCTGTTGTGGTGCTATATAAAAAGGACCAATTGATAAAGCACCACTATGTGTTTCACTTGATGCTTTCGCTTCATTTGATAAATCATAATACATTATATTAAGTAACATTGACGTAAAGAATAAAACAAAACAACAAGTACATCGTTGAACACGTGTAAATTTATTTGATGGTGGACGAGAAAATATTGAAAACCATAAATGACCATCGGATACACTATGATAAGCTTTTTTCGATAATACATATGAAAAATCTTGCTTTTCCGCTTCGCTAGCAATTGGTAAAGTTCGTTCAATCTAAATTCAAGATAAAAATAAGAAATAGTATGTTTTCAATTACACGACTTACTCGTCCATCATCGTTTTCAACTGCAAGCCATTGTTGACAAATAAAATAAAATTTATCCATACTTTGCAAATCTCGAACGATAATATATTTTAAATACCATGATGCCGAAGAACCCACACCTGAATTATCATGCCAAATACGCATATAATCCAGTAATCCCAATGATCTATATATTAATCTTTTATAAAATTTTAAAGAAAGAATCATAGTTTTACTTTGGAACAGCAATAATAAAAGAATCAATTCCACCACGTTGAAAAATCTTTCGATGAGGATCAGAAAATAATCGAATTTGTGTTTGATCAGTATCACCAGATAAAACAAAATAAACCTTGTAGAAAGAAAAAAAAAAGCTTCATTAAAATATTCTTTTCTTTGTGCTATTACTTTTGACTCTGTTCCAGCATTAGCTCTTTGACCAGTAAAAATAAGAATTTGATATAAATATTGATCAGATTTATTATTATCAGCTAATGGTGTTACTCCCAACTAAAACAAAAATACATATTTTGCCTCTATGAAATATATGAAATAGGTTTTAAGTTTTACTTTTTCAAAATCTTTCTTATCTTTAAATCGTGCATAAATCATTAAAATAATATAAATTATCGAGGTAAATATCATTGTTAAATAAACTGTTTTATTTTTCATAAAATCAGCATTTGCAAAAACATAACTCCAATTAATTGGTGCAGGTAAAACAATAAAACCACCAGCAAATGTCGTCAGATGAGTTGAAAGACATTCAGTTTCATAGAGATTTGTCAATGATCCAACCTATGATTAAATAATTATCAAATAATCTTTATTTTCCTAATCCATCTTATACTTACAATTAATCCATCCGATTTCCAATTATTATTTTTATCAAAATAATAACAACCTGATGTATATATACGAAGTTCATAATTTGATGTGAAGTTAATTGATTCATCGGTAATTGGTAAAGTATTTATTGAAGAACTATTTAAACAATAATTATTAATTTCAGTTGAATTTAATTCTCTTATTCCAAATATTAATGATTGATGACCAGGTGTTTGTTGATTATCAATAAAATATCGATATATATCATCATTAGTTAAATCTATAATTACAAACAAGAAACCTATATGAATGTTCAAGAAAAGAAAACATACTGAAAGGACAAAAAATTGTCCATCCATCAATAAGATTAAATGAACTATTCAATTGTGGTGTTTGATCAAATTTATAAATAAATAAATAAGCAAGACTTCTATTTAAAGAATGAATTTCAAAATGAACTGAAATTGGAAGTGAACTTGTTATATTAATATAATGATAATTAAATAATAAATTATTAATAGTCGAATTAATTGATGTAACATTTTGTAAATACATTGATGGAATTAATACATTTGGATCACGAGGAATTATTAGTTTTATTGAATTATTTTCATTGGCTTCAAACGAAATTTCATTTCCATTTTGATCAATAATCGAAAGTGAAATTGATCTTGAGAGATTTGTATTTGAAAAACTTCCAAATGAAGCAAGTACATCCATTTTTGACTAAAAAAATTCAAAAGAAATTCTTTAAATAATATATAAACAAACTTACTCGAAGTGAAATCGAAGAGTTATCATTTGTATTTAAAATAAAATCTGATGGAATATGAAATTGAGCATTTCCAATTTGTTTTACAATTCTATTTGAAAGCGATTCAGTTGATATTGTTTCTAATGACATATATGTTTGAGATGAATTTATTATTGAATTTTGACCAATATTTAAATGAATATTTAATGAAGATGTTATTAATGAAATAATTGATGTTACTTGTGTGCTAATTTCATTTGCTAATTGTTTTTGATAATATATATTTCGATTTTTTTCAATTGATGCCTCATCACCACCACCGAATAAATCTTTTAGAAATAAAAAAAAAACTAGAGATAAATCATTCATCAAGAACTGTTACTTGTATTTGACCATGGAGATTCAAGATCAGTATC